GCCTGTAGTCCCAGGTACTTGGGAGGCGGAGGCAGGAGAATGGCGTGAACCTGGGAGACGGTGCTTGCAGTGAGCAGAGCCAAGATCGCGCCTCTGCACTCCAGTCTGGGAGACATAGCCAGACTCCATCTCAAAAAAAAAAAAAGAAAGAGAGAAAGAGAGAAAGAGAGAAGGAGAGAAGGAAAGAAGGAAAGAAGGAAAGAAGGAAAGAAGGAAAGGAAGGAAGGAAGGAAGGAAGGAAGGAAGGAAAGAAAGAAAGAAAGAAAGAAAGAAAGAAAGAAAGAAAGAAAGAAAGAAAGAAAGAAAGAAAGAAAGAAAGAAAGAAAGGAAGGCACCAGAAGAGGCACAGTTGGTTCCTCCAGGACAAACTTTACCCTTTTATCACACTTGTCTTGATTTCCTCTGGGAAAAATTTAGTCCGCTGAACCATTTCCCCTTAAGCTTAAAGTACCCAAATGCCCTTACCATTTACAAGGGATCTTCAAAAAGTTTATGGAAAATAAGTGTTATGAAAAAGCTATGTATAGGCTTCAACATTTTTTTGCACCAAACCAAACTCATACTAACTTGTTTAACGTATTTGAACAAGGTCTAGTTTGAGGCACTAAGAAGGATAAGACATTAATTTTTTTAAAGCCCCTATAGAAGCAACATGAATTCTGCTAAAATTGAAGCAAGAACAATCATTAAATTTTTGGTAAAGCTTGGGTGGAAGAATGGTGAAATCATTGTGGCTTTATGAAAACTTTATGGGGACAATGTCCCAAAGAAACCAGCAGTTTACAAATGGATAACTCTTTTTAAGAAGGAAAAAGACAATTTGAAGATAAGGCACAAGAAGATGTTGAAGATGAACAGCAGACCATCCACATCAGTTGGCAAGAAAAAAATTAATCTTGTTTGTCCTAATTGAAGGAGATCAACGATTAACAACAGAAACAATAGCCAACACCATAGACATCTCACTTGGCTAAAATTGACATCTCAATGGCTACCTCTTGGTACCTCTTGGTAGCCATTGGACCAGTCAAGAGCAAAGGTCATGGCAAAAGTGAACTAAGAGCAGGGGTCATGGCAACAGGTTTTGAGGATGCCCAAGGCGTTTTGTTTGTTGACTTTCTAGAGGGCCGAAGAACAATAACAACTGCTTATTATGAGAGTGTTTTGAGAAAGATAGCCAAAACTTTAGCAGAAAAACATCTGGAAATACTTCACCAAATAGTCTTTCTCCATTACAACAATGCTCCTAACTCATTCTCTCATCAAACAAGGGCAATATTGTAAGAGTCTAAATGTGAAATCATTAGGCACTCATCTTGCAGTCCTGATATGATCTCCTGACTACTTTGTATCTTGTAATCTTAAAAAAAGCTTTAAAGGCACCCATTTTAGTTAATAATGTAAAAAAGATTGCATTAATATGGTTAGATTTCCAGGAATCTTAATTCTTTAGGGATGAACTAAATGGATGGTATCATAGCTTACAAAAGTTTATTGAATTTGATGAAGTTTATGTTGAGAAATGAATTTTATATTTTTTATTTTTATCTCTTAATCCCATATTTCCATGAACATTTTCAACTCTTCTCTCATATATCTATTAAACTCAATTCACCCTTCAATGCTCCTCTGGGTATCTCCATTTTCAAAAAAGCTTCCTCTGTCTTTGTAATTATTCCTGGCCTTCATCTTCCCATGCCTCCAAACTCCTCACTATGTGTGTCACATATTTATGAGTTTCATCACATTTGATTTCCAGTATTTTAAAACTATTATTCATTAGGCCAACAATATTTTTTGAACTCTTACTATGTGCTGGGCACTATTCCAGGTACTGCTACAGGTACTGCTAAAAAGTAGCGAACAAGTCAGAAATGATCCCTGGTCTCCTGAAGAATATAGTGCTTTAAAAAGAAAGAAGAAAGAAACAAAAAACAGAAACAAGAGTATAACCAATTAAAGGTAGAGGCCATGTCTATATAGACATCAGTTGTATCCTCTACAGTGTCAAAAACAAAAACAAAAAAAATAGCTGTGGTACATATTAGGCAATTAATAGATATTTGTTGACAATTAATTAAAACAGTAGTGAAATTGTTCATATTAGGAAATAAAAACAGTGTAAGAGGAATGGTATCAAACATAGAGGTTATAAAAGGGTCCCATTAAAATGTGATGATAAAAGTAACCATCCCTCACTGGATAGTCCTGGTGATGATATGGATGTGGAAGTTAAAGGCGGGGCTGGGGTTGGGGATGGAACTGGTTTGGAAAATACTCTTTATGGTGAATATATATATATATTTTCTCTTTACCAAACTCAATAGGGTAGTGAACACATATTATTCAAAGAGAACAAGAAAGATCTGATTTTACATTCTGTTTTACCTTGGTGACCTCCTGAAGTTATTTTCTTTGACTCTCAACTTGCTCATCTTTAAAATGGGGGGATGCAGGGGAAATATGCTGATGTCTCCTGGTTTGCCTCCTTCTCCCTTCTCCACACAGCTCTGTCTTAGGAGGCTGAGTGTCTGGTCTGCATCAACAGGCTCCAAGGCTCTGGATTCTGATCAGGTTCAGCCAATGGGGAGTCAGCAGGAGACAGCCAGTGGGAGTGTTGGTAATTTCCTTCTACCGTAGACTCTATTTTCAACAGCCTTTTCAGTAGATTCTGTTTTTCTTGACCTTGACCCTTCTGGCTAGAACTTCTCACTAGTTCTCTGCTGCTTATATTCCCAGGGTACTCTACTCGCCCTCTGTGTTTCCTCTAACACTGCTCATGGTAAATAGTCTCTTTATTAAATTCTCTACAAATTACCCAGTTTGACCATGCCCTCTTTTCCTGTTAATATAGAAGGCAATCATAATTACTTCTTGCTCGTGTAAACATTAATTTAAACCAGTGAAGCGTCTAGCACAGCCCTAGTATAAAGTAAGTCTTAGATAAACACGACTTTCACACTGTCCTTCTCCTTCTATTCTGGCCTTCTTAAAGACATGATAAAGACATGATATTCATCTATGGTACTAGGGAATTTGTGTTTAGTGTGACTATTAAGAGTTTAATAAGCTTCTATGTGAAGAGGCTTTTGTTACTATAAAGGAAAACTATTTTTTATGTAGGGTTCATTACCTAATAAATCAAGAAAATGCATGTTCCAAAAATCATGACTACATAAAGTGTACTTCAACTATAATTGTTTGAACTAGAATTAAATGAGTGCTTTATAATGATATGCTATCCTTCTCTAAGAAACACATATATACTCAGACTATAAACAAGCTAAAGGAACAGATAGAAAAAATATAAGTTGTGAGTGGTCATATTTATCTGACACAGATAATGCTTTGTGGAAAAAATAGTGCTTACAAAAATTTGTTTTGAGAATGACTGATAATTCCAACTCAAGTTTCTTATGAGTTTTGTGCCAAGAAGATTAAATGAAAATGTGCTGTGACAGAATGGCTATTGAGAAATGACGGAGTCAGTTTTGTTTTTTGTTTTTTGTTTGTTTGTTTGGTTGGTTGGTTTTCTATAGGGAGTTCATGGAAGAATGAAAGATATTCTCTTTTTGCAGTAATGATGACCAGGCTTCTGATCCTTCTGTCCAGGAAGACTTACCTTCCTGATGTAGCTAACAGCCAGAAAGAGAAGCAATCCACTATGAATGTTATGCTGGAGGGAATTTCCCATATACATCTTTGCTACTAAAGGTTTAGGTCCACGTAAATAATTAAACTGTATTTCTCAAGGAGAAAATTAATCAGCAGATGTACTGTGATTAAAGAGGTGCCCTATGAGGTTGATAGAACCCCTGAAACCAGGAAGGTGGTGAGATTTATGGTTTTCAGAAGCAGAGGCGGGGGCTCATCAGAATGCACAGCCTCTGAAGTTGTAGAGCCTCCAAGGGGATGCTTGCCTGGATGCGGTAGGTTGCAATAGTGGTCACATTCTCCATACCTTCCTGTATTCAAGTCTTTTTTTAAATGTGATTTTGAAGCTTCCTCCATCAAGAATTGAAGTCTATTGTTCCATCTTTTGAATCTGAGCTGAGTTATGACGTCTTCTGGCCAATATAATGCAGCAGAAATTTTGCTATGCTGGTTCTGAATCTAGGCTCTAAGAGGCCTTGTATGTCTCTGATTTTTCTCATGTAACCTTACGGTACCCTGCTGGAAGATCAGAGACATATAAAACTGTTCCTGTCCTTTTCCCCAGCCAACAGCCAGACAATCTGCAAGAAGCAGAGCTGTTTCACTGACTTCTAGCTGTATACAGATGCATACGTGACACAAATCAAGGCAGAAAGAGCTGCTCGGGAAAGCCCAGGCCCAATTGTCAACCCACAGAATCATGAACTAAAAATGTGGTTGTTTAAATTACTAAGTTTTGTGATAGTTTGCTAAGAATGATGGTTTCCAGCTGCATCCATGTCCCTACAAAGGACGCAAACTCATCCTTTTTGATGGCTGCATAGTATTCCATGGTGTATATGTGCCACATTTTCTTAATCCAATCTGTCACTGATGGACATTTGGGTTGATTCCAAGTCTTTGCTATTGTGAATAGTGCTGCAATAAACATACGTGTGCATGTGTCTTTATAGCAGCATAATTTATAAGATCACTTGGACTCAGGAAGGGGAACATCACACACAGGGGCCTATCATGGGGAGGGGGGAGGGGGGAGGGATTGCACTGGGAGTTATACCTGATGTAAATGATGAGTTGATGGGTGCAGCACACCAACATGGCACAAGTATACATATGTAACAAACCTGCACGTTATGCACATGTACCCTACAACTTAAAGTATAATAATAATAAATAAATTAAAAAAAAAATACTAAGTTTTGAGGTTGCTTGTTGCATAGCAAAACTAACTGATACACTATGTGCCTGTGGTCTGGGGACTTCAATCAGCATCTCTGTGGCTTAGCTTCACACGAGGAGAATGGAGCTACCTGCATGCAAATGAGCCATGTTGACCTGAAAAGAGCCGTATTAGCAACCATCAAAGATGAGAGATACCTGGCATCTACCGTTTTCCCATCCAGCCTATGCTTCAGGGTTCTTGTGCCATCTAAGGAGAAAGAAGAGACAAACTCCTATGTTACTTCTGCCAAATCAGTTGATACTGGATTTTATGACCATCTTAACATGTGGATAGTAGTGTTAAATTTAATTTTAATTAGCAAAATAATAAAACTTTGGATCTATAGCTTAATTAATATGTTGAAATTTTTAAATAATAAAATTAAAAATATTTCCCAGCACCTTATTTGAAGAAGAAGGTATAATCAGTTATCCTTAGATCTTATACCCTATTTCTCAACCAGCAAAGGAGAGATAACTATCAGATTGCATATCTTTCTGAATGAGGTATTTGACTTATACTTTAATGTTTGGTAATTTTAATGATTTCTTAGTAAAAGTATGGTCAAGTTATGAGACAGCAAATAAGTGCTCACATCCAAAGTAGTGATTGTTGAAATATTATATATTTACAAAGAACTCTGGACTGGAAGTCACATGAATTGTATATTAGTTCTGTCTCTGATGGTAATTAGTGTGATGCTCTGTGAGTCATTACTCACCTTTGGGTCTTTATTTCTTTATCTGCAAATTAAGAAAGAAGAACAAAATGATCTTTAGGTTCCTTTGAAGATCTTCTAGTCTATGTCTCTCATTCTACATTTATAATCAGATGATCTTTTTGAACATATTTAGGGGTACAATGTACTTTCCCAGAGAGTATCATTGATCTGATTACTCTTTCCTATAAGTCTTTAAAGCAGTTACTGATAAGAGTGGATATCAGGCACCGTTCTGCCACTGATGTCTTTTATTATTGTCACGTTACCAATTTATCTATCTGGTCTCCAGAATTAGTTTGTAGTCCCCTTAAGGAAGAAGATGGTGTCTTGTCTTTTTGACCCTCCTCATTTTAAATTATAATAGATAAACCTAACGATAATGAAAATAGTTGATACACTTAAAATTTGATTATATTAGTAAATTGCAATATACTCTCAAAATAGTTGTCTTTTTCCAGTATTTGTAACAGCACTGGATGACTTGTGGGGCTTTAGGTAGGTTATTTCACTTTTCTGGGATCTAATTTTGTACTCAGAAAATGGAAGAAATGAGCTACATTATCTGTAAGATCCCTTCTTACTGTACTAGTCTTTTAAAAATGCTGTGGAAGGGCCAGGTGCGGTGGCTCATGCCTGTAATCCCAGTACTTTGGAAGGCCGAGGCGGGAGGATCACTTGAGGCCAGGAGTTTGAGACCAGCCTGGTCAACACAGTGAAAACTTGTTTGTAACAGAATTTGTGATTTTCACCTGGGCACATGTCCACTCAGAATAAAGATCACATTTTTCAACCTCCTTTGTAAAAGGTATGGCATAAGATTAAGTTTAAGGAACTGGAATATAAGAGCAGTGGTATACATAAAGTGATGGAGAAATACCCTTCACCTTTCCTCCTTCCTGCTAGCTGGAATGTGGATGTAAGAGCTGGAGCTCAAGCAGCCATTTAATGACCTTAGGAATGAAATTCGTGGATGGTGACCTGATTTCAAGCAAAGCTACTGTGCTCCTGCTCTGATTTTAGATAGTCAGCTTCAGTCCATTTTTCTTGGTTTATCTGACTCCTGACTAGATTTTTTTTCCTCTTTGCACACCTTAAATTCTCAGCTAAGGCACTATAAACAGGACAGAATTAAGTTTCCCCCAACGTGTTTTTAAAAACTCCAGCTTTAAACTAAATTTTCATGGGTTCTTCCACAAATAAAAGACATACTAAAAAATCTGACGATGTGTATAATTTTAGTGAAATGTTGAGAAGGCATAAACTTCTCAAATAATAGTAATTTTGCAAGGTAAATATTTATAATGTTTAAATATGTTCTATATCAGACTGAATTCTGAGAATTTCAGAAAGTGATGATAGTACAAAAAACACAGTAGTTGTTCTGATGAAAGGCAGGCTCTAAGTAGCTAAGCAAATATTATTAAATGCCAAACAATTATATACATTTAAATGTCAGGATTATTTTGTTGGCATTTCTCTTGAAAACAATTTTTAAAGAGATGCATCTTTAGATACATCTTAATTTTTAAAATGCAGAAGTCGTACTTCTAATAAGGTGCTACTGTGATACATATTGATATTGAATTTCCTTTTAACTTTCCATTTTGTTATTAGCTAATTTACATGAAACTTCTCTAAGTATCAAACAATTCTCAACTATGAGGTTTATATTTTTAAAGGTATGTCTTTTTTTTTTTTTTTTTTTTTTTTTCCAGATGGGGGTGTCTCACTATGTTGCCTAGGCTGGCCTCGAATTTCTAGGTTCATATGATCCTCTTGACTCAGCCTTTCGGGTAACTATAACTGCAGGCACACTCCACCACACCTGGCTTAAATGTATTTTCCGAATAATTATAAAAACTAATTACCTAGGTGATACTGCATTACATTCTCACTAATTGCAAGATTAGAAGACAGATTATAGAGTTGTTAAATAATACAATCAACTAAAATTATGGAAATATTGAATATGGTAGGTTCCCAATATGAGACTGTTGCATTATTGAGTCCATACCATGACACTTTTGAGGCTTGCATCTTTGGAAAAGTGTTACGCATAGATTCGTTTAAGACAGTGTTTCTCAGATTATGGCAAGGGAACCACTTATATCAGAATTTCTGGGGTATTTATTTAAAATGCTAATTTCCAGACCTCTCAAAAGATCTAGTGAATCAATCTCTACCTGCGGCTTAAAAATTTTAACTTTAACCTCCGTCTCAACAGATTTTCAAGTTCATTTAAGTTTCAGAACCTCTGTTCTACTGCTACAACGAAGTTTAAAGCTGATTCCAGTTCTTCCTTTCATACCTCCATGCCAATATCACAATCATTCCTTTTTCACTCTGTCTCCATTATAATTTTGACTTCATGCCAAGGCAGGGCTCATTTGCTGGATGATCAACATTTACTTTTAAGTAGAGAGGGCTGTCTCTAGATAGTTACGGAGCACATGGATAGTCAAACTTATCAGTCAACTGACAGGAAAAGGATAAGCCCAACAAAAGTACAGTTCCTAGATTTCAAAACCATTTTTTTGAACTAATCTAGGAGGAGTATAGTTGTAATATAAGGAATGACTTTGTGTTAAAGAAAGGACAGGATAACTTGATAGAGGTCCCCCATCTCATTCTGTGACGGTGCTTTTGGGTTCCAGTGATGAATGTGTTCATTTTATGTGGCTTGCTCTGGGTAAATAACCCAGTGCCCTCTCAGCTCTGCAGCCCGCGGCCAGCGGCTGTGTGTGCGCGCTAATGACGGCGGAAGGTGCCTGGGGGAGGGCTTGGGGAGGGGCTGCCCAGCGCTATCGCGCCCCTGGCACTTCCTAAGAGACTCAGTCTTTTCTCTGCAGCTGCCGCTTGAAGACTCCACATTTTCCCTCTAGAGGAAAGAAGCCCTCCATCGAAATCAGCTGTCTTCTCCACGTCCCTCCTTTATCTCTCCGCCAGACGCCACCCCTACCCCTTCTATTGTGTTGTGCCTTTTCATTTTAGCCCCGCTTCCTACGTAGAGCCCTAACCTCCTTTGTAGCGAGGTCACTTGAGAATTTCCGAACCTCGAGTTGTAATGGAGCTGTATGGAAAGGTAAGCAGGCGAAGGGAGTTCCTTGGGGGTGCTTAGCCAGAAATCTCGCTTTCACGCACTTTGGTTTGCGGGTTGTGTGTGTGACTGTGTACGCGCGGGCGACTTCTCAATGCAATTATGCGGATAAACCACTTTCCTTATGTGTGTACCATTCATCGTCTTTCTCCCCCACGTTTGCTGAATAAGACTGTAAAACTGCCCCACTCTGCCTAAGGAAACGTAGAAACTTTCCCGATTCAGATGGGGAGGGGGTAGGGCGGAGAGTCCAGAGACCAGCTCTGGCTTCGTTTGCATTGGAAATTAGCACAAGGTAGTGTTGTTTTCTAATCAGGAACTCACAGTCTACTCCCGAAGGCGATAGTTAGCAAAGAAAAATCTCCAGCTGAGATAAGCTGGGGTCACATTCGCCTGCCCCTGGCGAGGAAGAGGGCAGGGGAGACTGGGAGAGGTAACCCAGGAGCGTTTCGAAAGGAGTAGGGAGGCTCCGCGGCCGAGCCGGACTGGCGGATCGAGGCTGTTTAAGAGTTTGCTTGCTTGCCGGGAGGTGTAGTTCACCGCTCGCCTGTTTGCTGGGAAGCCCCGCAGGGCGAGACTACAGTTCCCAGGAGTGCACGGGGCTCCCCGGCAGTACGCGTGTGCGGCGCCAGGAGAGGACAGCTCCGGTGCTGATGTTGGAGCCGGTTAGCGAACCCCAACAGTGCTGAGTGTGGAGCGGGGAGCGCGCGGACTGTGCACGCTTGACCGGAAGCCCGGACCAGTGCTGTCCTAGCCAGAGAGAAAGGACATTTGTCAACAATGAGACACGAAGCGCCCATGCAGGTGGGTCCATAAAGAAAGAGTGGCCTCGGGAGGAATTGAAAGAGATGCTTTTCCCCTTGCTCCGCGCACAAACAGTTCAACGTAAGGGAAGGTCTAGGCGGCCACCCGCGGAGATGCGGCTCTGTGACAAGACCCTGGGAACAGAGTTGGGTTTCTTTGCGCTCTGTGTGGCTGTGATTGGGGCTGTCTTGATGAGGGGATCGGGCTATTCGCGATCTGTCTAGGCTCTGTAATGAGGATAAGAGTGTTTGTCTAAAATGAAAACCCAAGCAAACAAAAGTCAGAGGAGCATGCAATCTCGTGTTGGCATTGATCTCCTCTCTTGGCATCCGGGGTTTGAGATTGCGGTGAAAACTCACGGATTTAAGGCAGATAGGTCAGATTCGGGGTTGAAGGCTCCCCACTGGAGTCGGCATAGAGCGAATTCCGCTTGGTTAAGGGCGCATTAAAGAAAGAGAAGCCAATGTTAGGCTCCTCAAAGTCCTGTTTCTTCAGTTAGGCTCCCAGTATCAGCAGAAAATAGCAAAGACATCGGGGCTTGGCATATCCCTGAGCTATGCCAGCATCACTGTCCACACAACTGGTTTACTCTGTTTTGGAGACAGCCCCCTCTGAGCTTTCTTGTGTTATGTGCCCATTTGTTCTCCGATTCCCCATTTCAGTCACATTCTTAGGTTTGTTTCCTTTGAGAAATGCAAAGGACTCCGGTGCATAAGTAACCTCTGCTTAAACATCTTGCTTAAGTTTTGTTTTTAAGTAAAGATGAGTGATAATTCTCGTCTCTATGTACTACCAGTTAACATTAAACATCAGCTTGTGTTTATTAATCAAACAGTGATCCTACTGTGTAACAGAAAGGCATTTTATGAATGGGATTGAGAGGAGAGTAGAAAACATCATTTGGAATGTGCTCTCTCTTGAGAACTCACCTCTGTTGCCAAACCCAACAGTATAAATATTTGACATTAATTTGGGCTTCAGCGTTTCTAACTGGTTTCTTCATGAATCAAGGACTTTAAACATATGCTTTCATTTACTTTTAATTTATTTTATGGGTTATGTATATTAAGAAACCCTTACTGGACTGTTAAATGAAAAATCTATGGAATTTAATTGTTTGTTGGGGGATTATATAAGGGAAGTCGTCAAATTACCTATGAGTTATTGAAAATTTGATTTGTGTCAGGGAACAGTGGCCCCTTTGTGTGTCTTCTAATACCTCTATTTGTGACTTAGCTTTTCATTATAGACCTGATGTGAAAAGAATCTGAACAGACAATAAAGGTACAGGCTGTTGCAATCAAGATATATTGGTTTATGATAATTTTCTATTACTGGAGATACTGCCAGGAGCCAACTGACTAAATTAATCGTATTTGATTATAAGTAAACATTAATTGTAGACTTTAAAAGTAGATCGTTATACTTCACTATGTATATGCATATGAAAACATGTACATCTTAAATTTACACAATAAAAAAGATTTCCAAGAATTTTTGAAAAATAGATTGTTAATAAAATCAACTCTATATATGCACTGATATTTTTCAATCAAAATAAATTACGAAAAATTTAACCACACTATATATTAATTTTGCTTTCCTACAGGGGTTGCTTAGAATGTTCAGAAAGATCATTAAAATATTACAGAACTGTATTAATATTTTAGGAAATAGTTAAAATTAGTTTTTGTGTTCACTAACTATGTAGTAGGCACTGTGATTTTCTATTTTAGTCGAAACTTTAATGAAGAACTAAAATAAAAATAGGTAAAATGAAATTAATTTGTTTGTGGATAGAGTTATTGTCGTATTTATCATGTATTTTTAAATCATTGGACTAAGTTTTTGAAATTTAAAATTTCCAAATGCTGTCATGAGTAATGTACATTTTAGGAAATCAAAGACTTTTTAGCATATTTAATTAGAGCACATACATTAATTCAATTTAACTAATAAATTGTTGTTATAGTGACCCCATCTCCATTATCATTAATTTTCAAAAATATGTAATAATAGGATAAAAACTATAAGCTTACTCTGAATATTTTAAAGTAACAAGTAATGTTTCAGCACTGATATTTCTGAATTGTAATCACATTTCATGTGACTTTGATATATGACAATGCAACAAAATAAATAGTTGACTTTTTTTTTCATTTAAAGACTGAACCACATCATCATTTCAAATGTATGTCCCAAATATTTTTTTACTTAGGTCTGTAGAAGATGACTCACAAGAAAACCTCATTTTATGGTTTCATAAAATAAGAGATTTATTCTCTGCTTTTAAAAATATTTAGTTCATTTGTTGATGTGAAACAATATGAGCTTTTTAATGTATTTGCTTATTTCCCAATTTACTTCTTATATTTTCTAAAGAAGCCTTTTAAAAGTCATGTAAGGTCTTTTAAAAAGCATTTGATGTATCTATATAAATAACTTGGCGTTCTGTTCAAGGTAGTTATCTTTGATATGTGCATATTTTATGAAGCGTATTTCTTTCTGAATTGAGGGAATATGAGGGTTAATTGTTTTTTATAGTAATTACTAAAATAATATACAATGATAATCTCTGACATCTTTATTTCCTTTCTAACCTAAATAACCAGAAATAGCATTTGGTAAGTGTCCCAAGTGATAGGCTTAGCATTCTAATGCAGGAGCTGGTCATTCGTGTCTTCTCATTCAGTGTATACATAAATCCTGAGGGCCAAATAAGATGAGAAATAACAGTTCTCATGACTTGAGGACAAGACTCTGGTTAACAAATTGTCATTTGATTCAGGGGCCACATTGAACAAATTCTAGTTTATGTAGTGCCTTGCCTGTGCCAAGCCCCGTGACTTAGATTTCATTTTATTTGTGTGTATGTATAAAACAATTTCAATATGTATAAATAATATATAACAATCATATGTGTGTATGGATATATTTTACAAAAATATTTACAAATATATTTAAAAATCCTAGTGGTCACTCTTACCCTAATTATAGGCACGATCACTTGAACTTATTAAAACTAAATAACTTTCCTACTAGGATAGAGTAAAATTTCTGTCAGATCTCTCTGTCTAGAAAACCCATGTTCTTTCCTCTATTACTTTTGATACCCCAGGAAGATATAAATGGGTGGTGTAAAGAATGAGACAGCTATTGATATAATTTGAGTCATTCATTTGGTTCAGAAGAAAGGAAAATTGGCCCTATCTTCTTTTTATAAAATAAACTTGCATAAACTAAACTGAATATTTGAAAAGGGCCAATGTTTTTAAAATGGCTTACTTCTGTCTATTATAATTTCTGGCAGGTTCACGTACTCTCTTACACGACCAAAGTGGAATTCATTGTCTCTGACTAAATGCTTACTTTTCCATTTTGTTATCCACAAGCTTTTGGGGTCACTTCATAAATGCAGTCTTCTAACTACTGAGGAAAATTCAAAGAAATATATCTACCCAAAGCGTGGAGCAGAGTGCCAAAGAAATTGTTTGACTAAAGAGGAGGAGGATTGAAGAAGGACTATAGATGTAGGCTGAAGATGAAGTGGAGCTAAAAACCATTAGTTATATATTAAAGTTAGCCATGCTGTACACAAAATCAAATTGCAAAGAATTAAAGTCTAAATATCACTGTTTTATTTGGCTATGGAAAGTACATGGCATTTTTGTACTTCATTATTGTTGAATTCCTAACCATATCCATCCTCAGTGATCATCCCTCTATCTTTCTGAGAAATGGACATGTAGTCCTCATCCTTTACAGAAACAGAAAATCCCTAATTGACTTTAGAGAAATGAGAAATTCTTCCTGGCTCCATATGGGTTAATTGCTCAAGTATCCACTTTTCTTCTGTAAAAGGAAGTGGAGGATAGCAAGGAAACTTAACCTATAGCAAAAATTCACTTTTGTGGCATAAGAATGTTTTTCCATTGAAACTGCAAAATTATCATAATTTTCTGCCACCATTCTAAGCTTATACTGGAATTGGAAAGTCCTTTCTTCACCATGATATTCCAGGAAGGAAATGTATGTTTATGCTGAAGAATAGGTTTTCTTGAAACTACTCTTGCCCACTCAACTCGCTAAGTACAAGCAGCTGGGCCACCTCAAAAAAAAGTTCTTATATAGATTAAAGGTTTTCCAACCGTTTTCCCCTTTTTTTAATTAATGTGGCTCAGAGGTTCTGTGGGAATCATCTTAGTAGGTCAGTCTATTACCAAGGATACTACAGCCTGTGAAGATTAAATCTTTGAGAGTTATTCAGAATTACATAGATCTTTAGCATTTTTCATTCATTAGTTATAGTTTTTTAAATAATGTTTATATACATTGAAATGTACAAATCTTAAGTGAACAATTTAATGAATTTTGACAAATGTATAAATCTGTGTAACACACACCACTATAAAGATATAGAACATTTCTAATCACCCCGAGTGTTCCTTCATGGTTTTTCCTAATCTACCTATGCAGTAAACTTTTTTGGTGAGACTTGAACTTGAGATCCCTGGGTTCTCCTGGACAGACTGACCAATCACGGCTTAGCTGTGGGATTTTCCTGTGTCTCCTCTCTCACTCAGCCCTGCAGAATGACTTAACCATAAAAAAGTTTGATTTGTTTTAGAACTTTATATAGTTCTGTAGAACATGCAGTATGAACATACTGTGGAACAAAAAAATATGTTCTCGTTTGAGTCTGGCTTGTTTTGTTCAGCATAATGCGTATGAGATTCATCCGTGTTGTTGCATGTTTCAATAATTCATTCCATTTTATTGCTGAATATTATACTTTTAAAATCAATTTACTATACTTTTAAAATTCATTATCCTATTTG